TGTGTGTGTGTGTGTGTGTGTGTGTGTGTGTGTGTGTGTGTGTGTGTGTGATTTACTTTCCCCTTTCTTGTCAGCCCCAAAGAATTAAGTTTTGCTCCCTCAGAAGTCTGGTGAATGGCTAATCCCCAACTCCATACTTAGCCTTCCTTGGTTTGCTCTGTGGTGTTGAAGCTGTCCTTCGACACTTTTGCTGACAAATTCAACTGGACTATGTGGAATAAACCCAACAAATCTTTAAGAGTAGTTAAGAGCATATGGAACTGGAAACCAGAGGATATATTGTGTTGTAAGAGGAATGTCTCGACTTGTGTAGCGTATTAGTCAGTCATGGTCTTCTAGAGTAACAGAACTTATAAAGTTATGTTGTCAAAAACCCTTCTCTATATCTAATGAGATAATGGTATTTCTTGTCTTTCAATCTGTTTGTGGTGAATAATGTTTATTGATTTACATGTTTGAACCATCCCTGCATCTCTAGAATGATCATGGCAGAAGATATTTTGCTATGTTCTCAGTGTCTTCTATAATGTTCCCTTCTAATTTCTTCTTTCATTACTATGGGTCTTCTTGTACTTTATTTAATCTTGCTAAAAGTTTGTCAATCATGTTGGTTTTCTGAAAGAAGCAATTCATTGCATTGATTCTTTGAATTGATATTTTATGTCTGTTTGCTTGTTTCTATTTCATTGATTTCAGTTCTGAGTTTGATTGTTTCTTACTGTCTTCTCTGTTGGGTGCTACTCCTTGTAGTCCTTGTCCAGAGCTTTCAGAATGACACTATGTCACCAACTTCCTGTGATAAGATCGCTCCTGTCTTCTGCTGTAGGCATTTAGTGCTATGAGCTTGGCTCCTAGAACCTCCTTCCTTGTGTCTGATAGGAATGGGCATGTTGTGTCTTTATCTTCATTCAGTTTAAAAAGGATTCAATTTCTTTCTTGATTTCTGTCTTGACCCATTTGTCACTTAGCAGTGAGTTATTCAGTTTTCATGAGTTTGTATATTTTTCTGCTGCTTTAATCCATGGTGGTCAGATAAGAGGTAAAATGTTATTTCAATTTTCTTGTATCTGTTGTGACTTGCTTTGTGTCCTAGTTTGTGGCTAATTTTAGAGCAAATTCCATTAGATGCTGAAAAGAAAGTGTATTCTTTCCTGTTTAGTTGAAATGTTCTGTAGATGTCTGCTAGGTCCATTTGACTTATGTTATTTAACTGTAGTATTTCTGTGTATAGTTTTTGTCTGGGTGGCCTGTCTATTAAGGAAAGTGGGGAATAGAAGCCACCCACTCTCACTGTGGATTGAAAATATGTGATTTTAGCTGTAGTAGTATTTCTAGTATGAACTTGGATGCCCTTGTATTTAGTGCATAACTGTTTACAATCACAATATTCTCTTAGTGGATTTTTCCTTTATAGAGTATGTAATATCCTTCCCTGTCTCTTTGGATCAGTTTTGAATAGAAGCCTATTTTGTCTGATATTAAAATAACTGTACCTGCTTGCTTCTTGGGACCATTTGCTTAGAATACCTTTTTCCTTCTTTTTACCCCGAGATGATGTCTATTTTTTTTTTTTTTTTTTTTTTTTTTGCATGTCATAGCAACCTTTTTTTATTAGATCTCTTTGCCAGATTCTGACACCTAGAAGTATATGCATTTACACCTTACAATGACTGCTTGAGTGCCAGTATGGTCCATCAATTCAAACTTCTTTAACTATCTTCCACATGTTTTTTCAAAGACTGATGTAGAATCTTCTCCACCTCCCCCACTGGCTGCTTTCCCAAAGCAGTTAACAAAGGAGATCTATGATGTTATGAATACAAAGAATTTGAACAGAACCAGAAAACAATGAAACAACTGTCAATGGAAACATCAAGTAAGGAGGGACTTCCACAGAAGTTGTAACACTCAACAAGGAAACCAAAGACTGTCCTCTGGGGTTAAATCAAGCTCCAGGTCTTGCTTGGTCAGAGGATGACTCCGGAGCCGCTGGACCATCATCTTGCCTTTAGTCTGATCAGAAGTGTTCTTACTCCTGACTTTTCTGATCATGTCCATCACCCACACCGTTGCCTGAAATTGTCCCACCACAGTGACTCGGGTTTGGCCTGAGGTTGTGAACCATCTCTCCAGCTGAATGAGAGTGTGGCTGTTGACCTCTAGGGTGCGAAGGTATTCGTCCTCAGGGCCAAATATTTCGTCTTCCTGGTCCTCTTCCATGTAAAAAATTAGTGGGTGGTGGAAGTAGTCAGGCACATCCCACCATGCGTTCCTTTGTGGGTCACTCATTCCTGTCTCCTGTAGGCTCCTACTTGCTTTAGCACAGAGAGATTCCGGGAAACTGGTTGCTTGGCGCCGATGTCTATTCTTGATGTGGAGGTTTATTTCTTATATTCAGTAGAAAGATGGGATCTAATCTGCTAGTCTGTTATCAATGAGCAGTGTTTATTGATTTCTAATATTTTGTTGTTGTAGTATGAGTTTTCCTCCACTCTTTTGATTTACTGTTCTGGGATCATTTTATTTCCTGTGTCTTTTTGGATGTGGCTAATATCATCAGATTGAAGTTTTCCTTCTAATGCTTTCTGTCCAGTTGGATTGGTAGATAGAAATTATTTAAATTTGGTTTTGTTGTGAAATGTCTTTCTTTCCTTGTTGGTTGCAATTGACAGTTTTGCTGGATATAGTCTCTCTGTGTTTGTAGATATCTGTCCAGGCCCTGCTGGCTTTCAGATTGTCCATTGACAAGTCAGGTGTTATACTAATTGGCATGTCTTTATAAGATTGATCTTTCTCCCTTGCAATTTTCATTATTGTTTCTCGGTTCTATATATTTAAAGTTTTGAATATTATGTGTTTTGGGAAGTTTCTTTTCTGGTCCTGTCTATTTGGTGTTCTATCTGTTTCTTCTACTTGAACAGGTACCCACTTCTTTAGATTTGGAAAATTTTCTTCTATGAAAGAAAAAATTTACCGGGCAGTGGTGGCACATGCCTTTAATCCCAGCACTTGGGAGGCAGAGGAAGGTGGATTTCTGAATTCAAGGCCAGCCTGGTCTACAGAGTGAGTTCCAAGACAGCCTGGGCTATAAAGAGAAACCATGTCTCAAAAAAAAAAAAAAACCATAAAAACAAAAAAAACCAACCAAACAAACAAACAAAAAAACAGAAAAAAAATTAAAATGTTTTTTGAGCCTTTGTCCTATTTTCTGGACATTTTGTAACTGGATTTTAAAAATATATTTAGCATTTTCTTTGACTTCATTTTACCTTGTCTTCAATTTCTCTCTTGAACGTCTTGTAATCTGTTGATGAGGTTTACCTTTGAGGTTTCTGTTTGACATCCTCAGTTTTTTATTTCCAGTTTTAGTTCAGTTTGGTTTTCCTTAGTGATTCTATTTCTATTTTCCTGTCTTGAAATGTTTTCCTCATTTCATTGTCTTACGGCTTCTATTCTGTGAAGAGACACCATGACCCTCACAACTCTTAAAAAGGAAACAATTTAGCTGTGGCTAGGTTACAGTTCACAGCAAAAAGAGTGAGCCAGCCAATGGACCTGCTAATGCTTCTGAAACCTCAAAGCCCACCTTCAGTGACACATTTCTTCCAATAAGGCCACACCTACTCCAACAAGGACACATTTCCTAATCCTTTCAAATAATGCTACTCCTTATGAGCTTTTAGAGGTCACTTCCATTCAAACTACCACATTCATTCAACTGTTTGTGTTTTTACACTTTTCAGTTAGGCATTTTTCGTATTTTTTTAAAGGTGAAGTTCCTTAAACTCATTCATAATTATTATTTTAAAGTCCTTGTCTTCTGCTTTTTTGAATATTTTGCATTTCTCAAGGGTCTATTGCAATATGGTTACTGGCTTCTCAGGAAGGCATATTGTCTTGTCTGTCCATCTGGCAGAGAAGTTATGATATTTGAAGTGTTTCTTGGTGTAAATATGTGTTCCTGTCCTTATTGGGTGGGTATTCTGTTCTTTGGTTACTGTCGTCCACTCTGGATCCTTGGCAAGTGTGGTGGCTGTGGGGTTTCTGGTAGAGAGGACTCCTGTAGCTTGCTGAGTGACACAAAGGAATGGAGATGGGCTGTGAAGAAAGGCTCAGAGGGGCTGAGGGAAACAGCTAAGTGGATCCTAGATCCCCACCAAGCAGCCAAGTCCCCAGGGATGAAGGTGGGATAAGGAGGAGAGGATCTTGAGTTTCAGCTCAGCGTGGTCACTGGGAGTCCCTGGTTTAAAAGAGTTTCTGTGTGACATTGGCTGACACAAAGGAAGGGAAAGCTGAGTGGATCCACAGGAAAAGTCTAGTATTTCTTACGTGTATGGGTATTTACATGCAGTGTCTAGAAGAGGCCAGAAGAGGGCAATAGATGCCCTAGTACTGGAGCTCAACACGCTTATGAGCTGCCCTGTGGTGCTAGAATTCAAAGTCGGGTCCTCTGAAAGAGCAGCTAGTGATCTAGCGTGACGGTTTCTTTAGAAATTGAAAACAGAGCCACAGAGGCTTCCCTCCACTGGGCACGTGGCCACAGTATCATAATCAAAGTGTTCTGAGACATTCACTGTGTTCTCAACATTCATGGAAATGGATCAGTGTCTTCTGAGACACTCACACGTTTGTATTCATAGCACGATTATTCCAGTAAGTAAGATACAGAATTAAGCCACTGTCTATCAATGGACAGATGAAAACAGGGCAGACACACATAGAGCTTTAGCTACTCCGCCCTCTCTAAAAAGGCTCTGTCACTTGCAGTCACTGGAATATCGAAGGTGAGGATAGGCTGTTAAGTGAGGTAGACCAGCCATAGAGGGACAGATTCCACAGGACTTCACTTACAGTGTGCAGTCTGAGTGTTCACTCGGCAATAGCAGTATAGAGTGGGGTCACCAAGGGTTAGGATGGAGAGGCATAGTTACTTTAGTTACTTTGATTTAGCTATCCTTTGGTACATACATATACCAAAAAAAAAAAAAATCAACCATTTATCCATCATATTTTGAATGCATGGTGCATGTGTGGAAATTAGGAAATAAGATGGTCTCAAGGTGTTTCCATAGTGTAGTGGTCATCACGCTTGCCTAACATGCAAGAGGTCCCTGGTTCGAAACCAGCTGGAAACAGTGTTAGTTTTCTCACTTCCTTGTGTGTTTTTAGACCTTCATCTCATTCCCTTGGGAGACATGGATTTTGGCTATGTTCTTAGCTTTTACGATCACGTATTCTTGGATCCTAGCTATATCAAATAAACTGTTTGAATGACAGTAGAAATTACTAGCCATAAAAGAAAGTACAAGAAATGATCTGCCATGTAGGGGGGATTAGCTCAAATGGTAGAGCGCTTGCTTAGCATGCAAGAGGTAGTGGGATCGATGCCCACATCCTCCACAGCTTTTGAACTTCTAGTCATTCTCTTTTAAACGTCACTCTTAGTAAATTTACTATTGGATCCTGTGGAAGAGATGTCTGGTTTGGACTGAGTTGATCTTACTCTTTACTGTCACACTTAAAAGTATAAACTTCTGAGTTCCATTCAGCTTTCAGTGTTCATCTAACAAATGCTTGTAAACATTTACAAAGTTGAGTAAGAACTTTTTCTGTGCAGGTGTAAAACTTCACCCTTAAACCTCCATATTGTGCCTGCTGTAACTTCTCTGGAACCTTCCTTGCCCATCTTTTGCCAACTCTGCTGCTTTGGTGGGAGGTTGTTCTGAGCCCCACGGGAAGGGAGCTTCCCATAACCCTGCACTGCCATCACCAACATCACGTGGACAAACGTCTACTAGGCCCGAGTGGGACTTGGCCCTTTTCCTACGAGTCTCAGTTTCCCATTTCTAAGCTCTGTGTAAAAACCGAGAATCACTTTGCTGTGACCATTTAAGGAACCTAGCCGGGTTCTCTCAAAAGCTCTCCAGTGTCTACAGCGTTCTCGAGGTGGTTGTGAGTGCCCTGCTCTACCCTCCTTCCTTCTCTTTTTGTCTTTACCTTCAGAAGGCAGTGTAGTATGCCCTACACTCTGCCCTGCTTCCTGCCAGAGGCTCTAACTGAAAATGCTCCCTCCTGACATTCCTAGACAGGTTGGAAAACAACCATTAAACCCACCAAGGACACTTCCACCTCGCCCAGCTGAAATGTCATGAGTGGACCCTCTTGAGTTGAAGTGTCTTGAGTGGACATTCTAACACAGGACATTCCCCATGGAATATCTGGATCCCGGATTAGCATTCTTCTGTTGTGGAATCTGAAAAAATAGGGTGGACAGTAGTTCCCTCCTGGAAGATGAAGCAGCGGGTGTGCTTGCCTGGCTCTACTGCAGCTTGGGTTTAAATGCCTTCCTGGTCTGGAACTGCCCTGGCAGTGTCCCACAGTGATAGAGCCCAGCTCTAGGGGCAGGAGACTATTACCAGGAGCCCAGTCTAAATCAAGGCTCTGGAAGTTGAGAGTGTTAATGAGTGAGTTACTGTGCAGACTAGGCAGAGACAGGGGTGTTGAGGCAGAGGAAGAGCTCATTTCTTTTTTTTTTTTTTTTTTTTGGTTTTTCGAGACAGGGTTTCTCTGTGTAGCCCTGGCTGTCCTGGACCTCACTCTGTAGACCAGGCTGGCCTTTAACTCAGAAATCCGCCTGCCTCTGCCTCCCAAGTGCTGGGATTAAAGGCAAGTGCCACGGCGAGGTCATTATTTCATACTCAACCTCTGCTTCCCAATTCAGGCCTTGTCACTTCCCTACTCTGAGATGTTGTGAAAAACAATCTACCTGAGCTTTCATTGCATCTGGAAAGGGTGGATGCACACAAGTCCTTTTGCTGTCAAAATTCAACTGAGCTACATGGAATAAACTCAACAAATCGTTTTGATTAGTTAAGGGCATATGGAACTGAAAAGCTTAGATTGTTTGTGGAATTAGTGAAAGAGGGAATGTCTCTAGTCATGTAGACACATACAGAATCAGAGGATACAGAATGTCCAGCAGAACGAGCTTGAGCAGTATTTACTTGCTCATTCACTCATTCAGTCAGGGAATAAAGAACCTCCTTGTTACTTCTCTTCCAAGGAGAGCAGTGAGGTAAGACTCCTGAGAGAAAAGAATGCCAGAGGAGTGAAACAGGAGGTCAGGGAGGGCACAGGGCAGTTGCAAGTGAAGCTGTTCCCTCAGCTCAGAGGGTCTTGCTTAGATGAATCCCAGAGGGATGTGAATGCCATCCTTCTGGATGTGAAATGCTTCAGATGCAGCACTAGCTGCTAGGGTGCAAAATCCAAGTGAGGCTTTGTTCTTTAAAAGCTGCAAGTGGGTACAGGGTGCTTGGAGACGAAGACATTTCTAATGTGAAGTTGTGGATGGGAGAGGCAGTCTCAGTACAGCTGCAGATCTGTCAAACTCCTGACCTAAGGTCCTAAGGTCCAACCTCAGAGAGGGCAAGGAGGCTTCCTTTTCCACCCAGGGTTGATTAGTTGCTTGTGTAGCAGGTTGACAGTGGGTGGCAAAGAAGGACTGGAATCCCCCCCCCCAACACACACACACACACCGAGTTACTGATCACAATGAAATCAGGAACTGATCCTGGTTGTTTGGTGAGATGTGTAGGGAGGATTACAGGCCACACTAGACACTTTGGATCAGTATCTGCTAGTACTATCGTGTGCTGGAGGAAGAACAGCAGATACCTTCTCAGCATGGTGCACTGAAGGTGCCTGGCTGCAGTTAAGGCACAAAACCAAATGTGAAGACATCCACTCTTTACTCAGCTAACAAATGAATCCTGAACTATGTTGCTGTTCTGCTTGCAATGTTTTGAGAGCAACAATTTCAAAGAAACTGATTGACACTTAAAAAAAAAAAAAGCAAAAACCTGAGACTGTGGATATATGTCAGTACAAGGGACACAGCAGAGCCCAGGATAGGCAAAGGCAGATCCTCCAGAACCATTCTTTCCCACTGTGTAATGTCACAGCAGGGAGAAACAAATGCCCAATTCTCTACCCCTAGATGCACACCCAGGGTCAGGAGGCCAAGTGAAGCCAGTAGAGGAGGACTGAGTGTTGAGAATAGAGTCAGCAATTAAATGGACCCCATTGTGTGCAATCTCAACTATTTCACTGTTGTAGAAGGCTGTGACTATTTTTATTTTCTGTCTCCTGAAAGCTAAGATTTCATAAACTGTAGTCTTAGAAACATCCCTTAAAACTTGTTCTGACCATTCAACTTCTGAAGATGTTTGGGTCTGAGAAGCCTTTGGCTCACTGTTTTATTCATCTCAGATGAGTGGAGTGGAAATTCCCGTCTCTTAAGACACCTCACTCCCATTGGTTAGCCTCATTGAATTCAACCTTTTGGAATTTCCCCGAATGTGTATTTGTTGGCTGTACTCTGCCCTTCACTGCTGTCCTGGTTTTGGAGCATCACAACCCTTGCTCAGAGAAGACAAAGCATGCCTCCTACAGATTTGTGTGCCTTTTGGAAGCACAACACACGTCTTTTTGCCTGTACACTTCTCAAATTCACTGTATAGACTTTTTAAAAGAACCCAAGTAATGGGCTGTGGCTTAGTGGCATGGTGCTTGCCTAGCATATAAAGCCTTAATTCAATCCACAGCACTTTAGAGAACAAAAGTTCGGAGAAATATCTGAGAACATCGGACGTACTGCGTTACACTCATCTTCATATTTACTTTCTATAATGTAATAGGGAAGCTCACTAAAAGGATCGTCGTAAATGCCACAACAGACCTCTTCTGGGCTCCCTGGGAATGATGGGAGGGACAAAGCTCAGGTTCAGAAAACTGTCAGAAGGGTCTCGGCTGGAAGATGCTTTGGACCTCACTAAGCAGTTGGACATTGATGATGTGCTTGCAATTCTGAACTTGACATTCCTCAGTTCAGTGTCTCTAGAATAGCAGAAGGCAGAAATGAAGGGGTAGAACAAAATACGAACTCAGTATAAGGCAATCAAAAGGAAACACAATCAAGGTGGTATGCCTTACAAATTCGCTTCATCTTTTATTTTGAAGGCAAAGCATAGTAGCTAAAAACAGCACACACATGGCCCGTACGGGGATCGAACCCGCGACCTTGGCGTTATTAGCACCATGCTCTAACCAACTGAGCTAACCGGCCATACATAGAAGCCTTTCTCTATGACCTCTACAGATATTTAATGACAAAGTTGCCAAATGAGAAAGGGATTTGTTTCCCAAAATTTTAAGATTTTCTTTAAGATGTAAAAAAATTTACAAAACTTGCCTTATTCTAAGTAGAAAGTTTCTATGAGCAGAAAGAAAATTCTGTACGACAGCAACAAATGTCACCTTGCGCTCACTCATTGCTCAGCTCGGTCTGTAGGATCCACGGAGACTCGCCTTATAGTCCAGTACACTCGCTCAATCGAGGCACAAACTGCACGCCATCCCCTGGCCAACACGGAGTTCTGCAGCCCACTTCTCCCTCTTACCCACAAATGACTATTTGAAGTCTTCCCAATTTTAAACAATTTCAGAATACATTCGCCAATAATAATAATAATAATAATAATAATTTTTTTTAGATAAAGCAGTGGGTGCCAGGTCTCCCCCAGATCGCGTCTCTCTACTGAGCTGCTATCTAGACGAGGGTATTCCGGACCAGTGGCGGAGAGGCCGGGTATGTGTTCCAGGGCAGCAGGACGTGGTCTCTCCGGACACTATCGGGTCCGTGGAGTCTCTGCGTGTTGAGAAGAGTGCAGGATCAGCGCGTCCTTAGTCCGTCGCAGGGACGAGTCTTCTCGGCGCATCCACGCTTGTCCTGGGTCGCAGTAATGCCAAGCTCTGCTCAGTTTAAACTAGGATTTACCATCGTCACTAGATTAGTAGCCATTCCAGAAGTTTTGGGGATGCCTGCGCTCCTCGGTGTTTCAAGGCTGTCTCAGCAAGAACTCTAGGAGGCAAGATCGGGCTTTCACATTCTTTGCGCCTGAATTTTGGGATGGGCGCCGGTGTCATTTTGTCCTTCTTTAATAAAGTCGCGAAGGAGTCGACAACTTGAGATTCTGAAATGAGTATTTTCAGGTCGCCCAGAAAATGCTTACCTTGGTGACTACTAATATCTGTAACTCCGAAGTCGCCCGCAATCTCCTAGTCTGTAACTGAGGAG